TATATATATATTCAGAACAAGTTAAACGTATGTACAACAAAGTCTTCATACTATAGAGATTACAGGCATATCATAAACACTATTTATATATAATTCTATTTTTCTCGTCAAAAGTCCACTTAGGCCTATTCAATTACTTTAGAATTTCAGTTGACAAGTCGACCTATCTTCTCTATATTACTATCATACTAATATTCTGTGTGTGTGATTCACTACGGTTGTGGTGCAAGTTACCATAATTCGTTTGGTCTTCTTTCTTCTGAAGATCCTCTGTTCCTTTTGTCAAAGTGTATCCAGGCTGATTCAATTACTTTAGAACCACGCTTTGACGGAATAAGAATAACCTTCTTATCTTTTTTTATACTGTTAGTTTCACTCTAACATATTAAACATTAGGCCTATCACCTTTGCAGTACTTAACTTCACACCATTGAATTCTCTTTTGCTATTATCTGTCTATTGTTGTATGTCTACTGCTTCCTGTTCGTCTCATGCTATTTATATCTTTATTACATAGTCATCTGGCCACTTTCTATATTCTCGACACCAATTAGTTATTAACAAAACCTTCTACAATTGTCTGCTTTTAACTCTTATTATAACAAAACTTAAAAATAATAAAAATATTCACTCAGAAATATAAATTAATCACTAATATTTAATCCAAACAGTCTTTTATATGATGACATAAACCCTCTTCAAGATAAAATATTTAGAATATTTTTTTTACTATATAAAAAGACTGTTCTTAGTTCACATACAAAGTCTGTTCCAACATTTGCAGTTCCTTTATCCGTCTTTCCTAACACTGGGTCTCCAGTAGGACTTCTCCTTAACAGGATCCCTCATCTTCATCTTGACCTTGTGTTGTCTGAGGTTTGTATTTCTTAATCTATCTGTATGATGACACAGTAGGTTTTGTTCCTCTTCCTATCAGTCAGTTTGACACTCATGTTCACATCCTTGTACGTCTCATCTCTACACTGTGCCCTTAGGCGTAGTAGGTTCTTATCTTCTAAGACAAAGTTGTTGTCTTCTGGTTCTGCATCTATGACGGCCACACCTGCAATATCCA